CTTACTGGAGTAAATAGCTTCAGTAATTCCCAAACTATTTGTGAATGTCTGATTGAGTTGGTATGAAGTTTGTGAGTTTCTCTGCAGTGAACAAACTTTAATGTTGCTCCTGTTTGAAATAAAATTGTCAGTTGTAGCTCAAGCAATGGAAAATTGCAGCAAAAATGTAGAGCATTAAAATATGCTTCTCTCTAGTGAAAGCTCCTCTACAATCACAAGGGCAAATACAGTTAAAAAACCCCAAAACACAAGATCCTCCAGTAGGCAGAAGCTTCAGGATCACAGTCTTTAAATGGATCACTTAAAATACTTCTCTAGATAAGAGTGTACTATAACTGTGTTGGAAGCTGTCTACTCCCTGGCATCACTGCTTCCCAGACATATCTGTTAGCTGATATTGAAAATAATTCTGCATAGGATGCCCAAAGTTTAATCATGGCAGGTTTGCAGAACCCTTCACTGAAACCCAGATAACAAGAGATGACATGGTTCTAGGTGTGCACTGTTGAAAATGATAGAGGGAATACTCATTTAACTGTTTACTTTCTGGCCCAAGGGAATAATCAAGGGCAAGTTCCTTTGGTCAGCAGCCAGTGAGGATAAAATCAAGAACTACCTTGACACCACCTGGTTTAGTTAGAGGCTTTGTGGGAGAGGGAGCCAACAGGACACAGTCCCTTGGCAGCACCAGGCTGCTCCCAGCCAGTAGCTACAGCTCTTACTGCACTTTTCTCAGAGCTGTTTTAGCTGAGTCAGGATTTCTTTGCTTCCCTACATTTTTATTTTTCAGTGGATGGCTCTATTTCTATCCCCTCTGGCTTGCCTTGCACCTTCAGCCAACATCAGTGTTCTACCTGCATTTATATTCAGTCTATCTAATAACTCCTCCAGCCCGATAGTTGACATTTCTGAGCAGCTTTACACCTCTAAGGAAGAGGTTTTTATTTCTTCCCTCAATTTGTTCTCTTTAGCCAGATCTGACTTAACAGTAATTAAAAAAAATTAAAGCATTCCCTGTTTTCAGCTCTCTCTACTGCACAGTGAAGTCCCAAGGATGCAATTCTATCTGACCAAGCAAAGCCTGGGGGGACACACCTTCCCCTATGTATGTATGTAATTTATTCATATATTTATATATTTATTTTAATATATTTATTTATATATTTATATCTATATGTATGTATATTTATAAACTTGTACAGCACTTTTCTATCGGGAAATGTTCAGTCCCTCAACTCAAGCCATTTTACTTCAGCCCTGGGCAAAGCCCCTTGATTACTCTGGCAGAGCATCCAGGCAAAGCTCCTCTATCCTCTTTGTACCTACCAGCATGGTCTAGTTCACCTTCCGGTCCAGGGCAAAAGTCTATTGCCACCTGTCTGTTTTTATCAGCTTTTTACAAAATTAATTCCTATTGCTATTTTCAGTTTAGTGTCCTAAACCAGCTATGGGCAGGGTACTGTGCTCTGGCTCGTTACTGCCCCTCCTTGAAGAACTATCCTTTTGACAAAGTATTTCAGCGAAACTAACTGTTGAAACCTGTTTTCCAAAACAATTGAGGCCTTTCCATTCTGACATATGCAGGCCCATGAATCACAGCTGTCTGGTTTTTTTTCTGCTTCTCCAGCTGCGCAAAATTCACCAAGTGGCCACAACAGCATACTGTTGACTGCAAAAAGGCTGAATTAGGCTTTATTTTCCTACCTGGGCACACTAATTTGGGCATGATCACACTGACCCAGCTCTTTAGTTTCACAGAACTTGTTTTTCTTGCTCTTAACCCTTTAGAAGTAACTGGCCCATGGGTGGAAAAGCTAGTAGAGCAAGAAAGACAGACACCAATCTTCTCCATAAAAACTCCTCCACTCTGAACTATCCCCCAGGTGATTTTTTTCTTCTCATTCTTACAAAGCTCACTTTAGATCTGGTGAATTATTCCTGAGGACAAGTTCAAGCTCCTGTTACAGCTTCTAGTTCCTTGTTGGGTACAGTTCAGGTCATCTTATTAATTTATGGTTCTTAGCCAAGCTGCTTCCCATCAGTTCTGCCTCCCTCAGCTCTCTTTATGGGACAAGAGCCAGGAAAGACTCAAGTTTCACAGTGAGTTTCACATCCTCTCTGACTGTCCCTGACCTCCCTTTGCTGCTCTCAATGGGGACATCAAAGTCCCGAGGTGGGTATTACGGATTCCCATATGGAGCACTTTCTGTGGAGCCAAACGGGCTGGACGCCACAGGATGTGGGAGTAACATGGCTTTGAGTTTCTGGAATAAAATGTTGCATTGATGGAGGAAAAAAATTAATATCTTTTCTATCCTAACCCTGAAGTTTGAAGAACTGCACCCTGCAGGTGTCTAATTAATGTCTGGTTAATCTCATTAAATCTCAGCTCTCACATTCTCACTCTTCCAAATTAACTTTTGTTTGCAGCTTTCACCCTGACAAGATCTGTATAAAACACGCTGATTTCTCATTGCCTTTCTGCAGCTGAAGGTTTATGCAAACCCGGTTCCTGTGAAGCAGCTCCTGCAGAGCCCTGGAAAATGAGAATACTGAAAAACTGAAGCTTAGCAGGATGAAGGGGGAAACAGCTAAGTCACATATTTTCATCCCAAATTACCTTTCCCTAACTGGGAGGAATTTCTAGAAAACAACAGATCTAATTCCTAAGAAACACTTTTAATGCCATCCATGTTTGCTTCCATTATAATCAATAATTGATATATTACATATTCTTACATATAATTTACATAATTTGCTTTTTGTCTTCTGAGATGGGGGTATTCTACCTTGAGCAGTGAATTCTGATAGGCTGGTCCCATAGACTAGAAATACAGGTCTTAAATGCTAATTTCTTACATTTAGGTTACAAGGCAGGTTGCAAAGGTAAGAAATAAAAAAAGATGTCTTAAGATTTCAGATCTATTATGGGCAACGTGGGTTTTTTTACTACCAAACACTCCCAGCTCATATAATTAGTAGCAAATACTTGAAGCAACTCAATAGACAAAATTAAATGTTTCCACAAGTTTTCTCACTCCCAAAAGCTGTGCTGAACTAAACAAGCATTTTTCCTGATGTTTCTAAACAATTGTTTCAAGTTCTGCAACCTGAAAATGACTGTATACTAAATTTTTATTACTATCTGGTGTCTAGCAGACACTGTTTTATGAGTAAAGAACAGTTGGACAGAGAAAAACTAATGCTCTGCAGGGAGTTTCAGCTTTTCTGGTAACAGACAACCATTTTCATGAAGATTCCAACTGTTTCTGATACAGAGTTATCTCCTCTTCTAAACTGACTTAATTTTTATTAAGTAACTCCACGAGTAAGTTGCTTAAAACTATGATCAATCATTAATTCTTTGGATTCCTTCTTTCCCATCACAGCCGGTTACGGCAACACCTCCTACAAAAAGAACTTACGTGGATGCTGTGTGCCACGAACCACAAACCCAACAGCTGATACCTATTTTTCAAAGTAAATGAGAACTGGTTTGTGGCTCACAGATCTATCTTCTGGTACAACTGCCATTAGCACCATTTAATTCTGGTTTCCAGAAGACCAGCTCCACAAGTAAAAGACAATTTCAACTACAGGCAGACCCTCAATACTTCTTTCTCCCTCCTCAGCACTTTTTAACTTTAGTTTCAAATCATTAATGGCTGAGATGTCAATAAAATTATAAGATGATAAAATTTCAGTTTGGTGCCTGATTAGATTCTGTGGACTCCAATTCTGAAATAATGATGCAAAATGTCATAATATGTCTAATGCATGGGGTTCTGCATTACAACCCTCAAACCCAACCAACCATTAATTCCTCTCCTTTAATTATCTTTTATTTAGCATCATTCATTTAATTAAGAATTACCTCCAAAAAAAAATTTACAGTATCAACCCAAATACATTGTAGCAGTCTTGATATAGATATATTAAACCCACAACCCTTAAGAATATGTATGATCTTGAAAGATGAAACACTGTAGTCTAGTCAGTAAAAATATTGCCCTTAAATCTTTGTGAATGGACCTTGTAACGCTCTTCTTTATCAGGCAACAGAGTTCCATGTCAGCTGATTTCACTTGCAAGCTGTCTGTTGTAATTCCCTACATTGCTCCAGTAACAATTTCTGTATGAGAATAGGAATTGCAAAACAAGCTCACACTGGCATAAAGATATTAACAGCTATAAACACAAATAAAAGGTCCTTGATTAATACAATACCAAACATTTGTTAAGCGCACTTTAAAATCATGGAATCATTTAGGTTGGAAAAGGCCTCCAAGACCATGAAGTCCAACAAGTTACTGAAATGTTCTAAACCCAGTATTTTCAGTCCATTACATGTTGTTGGTGCTAAGCTAAACACAAACATTTTGAAATCAAGTGATGTGGCAGGTTTAAAGGTGACAAAATATTTCTGTCTTGAATTTGGCAGTCCAGATGGAGGACTTCAGAGGTATAATGAGCAAGTTTCTACTGAGACACAATTTTAAAATAAAGTAATAGCAGCACAACCAGAATTTTGTCTTCTTTTTAACAAGGACAGTACTAACAGTTGAGTTAGCAGGGCCACATGAAACGAGTGGGGCCACCTGCAGGAATGAAAAAGTCCAAAGTTTACAGATCAACATGAATCTTTCTGATTTAAATACCACTAAAAGCATAAAATGAACCATTTCATAGAGCTCCGCTTAGTCCGACTATTAAGTTTTCATAGTTTTTTTTTAATCAAAGCATCATTCTGAGATTTACAATGAAGATGTTAAAGAAAGCTGCTTAAGAAAGAAAGGACACCAAGTTCCAGTTTAAAAGTAGAAACACACAGCCAAATATTGAGTCAAAGAACATGCACCTTCAGAATATAAAGTGAGTACCTTCTTCCTGTTCTGAGCTTCTGACCTTAAAAGAGAAAAAACAGCAGGTGAACTGCTTGCACCTGAATGACATTACAAATGGCTTTCTGAAAAATTAAGAAGTCAACAGGCATTAGCTGTATAACATTTTTATTTTACTATATTGACATTTTATGCACAAATATTTTATCAGAGTAAAAATAGAAAATAATTGTTTCATGTAAAATTACCAAAAAAAATGCAAAACACAAAAGAAATACGTAATTATTAGCAGAGTATAAGTGTCTTTATTTAAAGAGTAAAAAGTATGCAAAAAACATTCTGTTTTACAAAAATTGGGAATATTCTTTCTGTGTTTTCCTTCTGGCAGCAACAGAACAACCTTTGACAATATATTCTACATCTTTTGTTTCATTGAAGACATCAAGTTAGTCACAGACTTCTCCCTCAACTACAGAGAATGTGATGATGATTTTATATCATTTGAAAGATTCTTTCTTTACTAATTAGAACTTGGTGGAAAAGCAGATGGAGGCACAACAAAGAACCCAAAGGACCATCACACCTACTAAAAGCTGCAAAACAATAATGGGATGTATTTACAGACAAAGGGTGGGAGCAGGAGTTTCCCTCACTGGACTCATCATGTAACAAGAACATGCAGGGGAATAAAGTTTTGATTAAATTTCAATTTTGCTGTTTATCTTCCCACAGCCCAGTTTGATATAGAAAGCTGGTATTTTAAGCTTCTCTTATTATACTGTATTTTAACTAAAAAGGCTTCCCAACAACTCTGCTAAATAGAACCAGTGACTTGTACTGGACTTATGTTTAGTAATTAAAGCTGCTGCCACCAAACTACCACCCTCACATCATTCTTGGTAAGCAAACCCTCATCCCTCTGCACAAGCCACCTTGAACACCTGCCAACTGGTGGCATCAGACTGCTCTAATATCAATAAAGGGACTCATGTTGACCTCTCACGAACAGATGCACTTTTATTTTTTCCTCAGGGTTTATGACTTTTTTTAAAAGCCAAGTGAAGCCAGCATGCTCAGCAGATGGAGTGCTTTGAGAGCTCCAGAGCGAAAACAATAGTGAGAGGTACCAAAAGAATCTGGCAAAAAAATGTTAATTTTATATTCCTGGTGATGATGACAAAAGTAAGCTAGAACTACATGCAAAATTTCTAGTTAAGCAAAAACTATCATCTTGTAGGTGAGCATCCACCTACAAACAAAAAGCTTTGTCCTCAAACACATCTTTAAAATACATGAGTCTTGACGTTTTCTCCCTTCTGCCTCCAAGTGTGACCATTCCTGCTCTCCCTACTCAGCACAAACACACTTTATGTTCAGAACCTCACTGTACAGGGACTTTGGGTTTAACAGTAGCTGGATCCCTCAAAGAATTAAAGGTCTTCCCTTTTAATTGTTAAGTGTTACCAGAGGGACTTTCACTTACAAAAAGTTGGTAAATACCAGTGGTGACATAATAATTATACTGTTTAGCAACAGGAAGGGGAAAAAGCAACCCCCAAATCGCACCATTTTCAGCCATCAAAAGCAGCACTCATAGGCACCAGTACAGAAACTAAAAAGCTGCAACCTGCTTTTTACTGCATGTGTAAGTTTGCACGAAGCATAGCTCAGAATTCAGGATACGTTCCAACTATTTCTAATTATCATCCCCTCTTCAAATTGCACCCAGCTCTGGGTCATGCATTTGGCTTAAGAAGCTTTGAAAATACCACTTGAAGTTCAGAGAGAAATAAATTTTAAATAAAAAATGCCTCTTTGTATTTTAATATATACCAGACTGTACAATGATTGGGAAATCAAACTTCAGCTCTCTGTAAACTACTTTCAAATTGCTTTTTGTTCCTAACCAGGGACTACTGACTGTGATTAACTTAAGTCTTAGCATACTAAGGTTGACGGCTGTGCTGGTTTCAGCACCTTGCAGAACACAGCATTAACCCCCTCCCCCCCAGAAAAAACAAACTGCTCTTTGGGTGAGGGCTGTTTTTTTAAGTTTTTGTATGACCTGATGGGGGGTGGTAGTGGGGGAGGAAGTTTATCTTTGCTTTTTGCTAAATGGCAATTGTCAACGACATATTTCAAAACAGGTATTTGCCCTCATATATGTATATTATCTACATATTACAATGAAATACTCATAATTGGCTTTTCACCTAAGCCAGATCTAAACCTGGATCTCCTTCTTCAGCACTGATCTCCAGTTAAGCCTAGTCTTAAGTTTCCTTTGCTACTCCAGAAGCTATTTTAAGAACCTGATGCTTTGTAACATTGAGTGTGTCTTTCGGCTCTGCTTGATTAACTGAGAATAATGAACATATTTTAACTTTGAAAGCATCAAATGCCATTTGGTAGTTCAGCAGAGAACAAAAGACTGGGAAGGGCTGTGTTCAGACAACTGGTCAGCCTTTTTGCTGCGAGGACTTATTTTTGTTAGAAGTGCTGCAGAAATGACTTTGCACAGCCATGGTCACAGAACCTGGAGCGGTTCCAGCTCTCACCAGCTGCACACCATGGAGGCCCTGACTCACAGCTGCAGAAGTTGAGGGGATCCCTTAACTTACATTGAAATACATGCTGTTAAAAGATCCAAATTTATGCGAGTCCCAGTTCTTTATAGAAAATCATGCCCTACATTGTACAGTCAAGAAACAAAGGAAGTTTCCAATTCTGATAAAGATGGGAGCAGCAACTGCTCTGGTTATAGAGGAAAGGCCTCAGGTTGCCACTTTGAGGTCCCAGTGCTTAGTTATCTTTCTCTGCTTGCAGGGATGCTGTAGCCAGTGCCACTGCTGTCACTGGCTGTGCGATGCCGTGGAGCTGCATCTTGGCCAGTTTCTTCTGCTCGCACTCCGTGACGAGCCGGTTCAGCTCTGCCGCGCTGTACCCGATCAGCGTCTTCAGGTCACACACAAACTTGTACACAAACCTCTTCCCCTGCACTTTGCAGATCATGTCTCCGTCATAGTAATACCTGCAAAAGGGAAATGAAACCATCAAGGCAAATTTCCAGCATCTGTGATTTCCATATACATCAGTTGTTTATTTAAGGTCACTCAGAGATCAAAATTTTCTCATCGGGATTCTCATAATTTCATATACCAAGATAGTACTTACGCATTTTCTTACATGAGAAAAGGGAAGAGGGTTGAAAATTGTCCCTGCACCTTGATATGTTAAGGAGAAATAAAACATAGTAATTATTTTATAGGCAGTCAGAAGCACCAGTTCAGAAATAAAATTCTTAGAGCAGTTTAAAAACAGCTTGAGGGGGAAGAAGTTATATATATAGTTTATATGTCAAACTTTATAGCTTTGCCTTAGTAAGAAAATACTGTCTCCCCATTCATTATTCTCCTTTGCTTTACTCTTGTCTCTGCTTTTCTGAAGAAAAAAAAATCGTGTTGGAAACAGGTTGCAAATTAGCATTGTGGTTTTTATGATAGGAAAGCAGCCATTCTCCCCCTACTGTTTTCAAAGGTGGTAAGAAAACTATAAAAGCATGGGTTGGATTTGGGGGGGGGGTTGTGCTGTTTGTTTGTTTTGGTTTGGTTTTTTTGTTCCTTTTTTTTGCCCTTTTTTTTTTTGTCTTGTATTTTGTTGTTCGTACTTTTGTTATAGTTCATATGCTGGCAAAGCTAGATCTTTGCCTTCATTTACAACTACAAGTGACTTCTCTAATTACAAATACTTTTTATATCGTGTGACAAAAGAATTATCAGACTGGGCAGAAATGCAGTAAGATAAAGTCTACATGACCCACTGCACCCCAGAGATGTTATAAAACTTTAGGTCGCACTAATAAAACAGAAGCTAGAATTGTGCAGTTTTGTTGCTGTCCTTGTTTCACTGGAGGCATTAACAGAATGCCTGTCACATTTCTCATTAACCAAAACTAAGTGGCTGGGATGTAACTTGGATTTGATGCGTTTAAGAAGCTTGTGATAAATTTGGAAAAAAAACCCCAAAATCCAGCCCAACCAACCAACACAAATCGCACAATTTAACTGCCTCGAAACCATCACCCAAATGTGGCACAAATTAACCCAGATTTCTTGACTGTCTAAGACTCAATCCTCTGAGTGACATGTTTATAAAGGAAAGATGATCCTCGTTCACTGGAAAAACTGAGTCAATTACACGGGCAAGTCTGTAAAATGTGGCCACGGCATGTCAAGTGCCAGTGTCCATAATTGTTTTAAAGTCAGCATTTACATTTATTGTACAATCCTGTACAATAATGCCTGTCTCAAAATAACGTAGAAAAATGCTTTACAGAGCTGAATATACTTCAAATTATTTAGTCTGCATTACTGATATTATCAGAAAGGAAAAGGACCCCAAGAAATCAGATGACATTTATGTGAAGGCCCAGAACAATGCAAGATTCCCATATCTCAGGCTAGAAACACTCAAGTTGAAATCAAGGCAATGTGGCAAGAGGATATTTTCAATATTATGCTGAAGGTGTTTCTGATTACAGCATTTGCTTATTCAAAAATATAGAAAGCTAAAAATAAATACCCATGCAAGTTTACAAAGCCTTAGTTACTGGAACGTTCCAAGACACATGAAAATGTTGTTTCAGAAGAATACAGAGGACGAATTACTTTCCTTGAGTCTCACTTCCCTACTGGATAACTAAGTAGATGCTGATTTTTAGAAAATTTACCAAGGTACATGTAACAAAAAAAGCTGCTCTTCCCCTTCTCCCCCTGCCCTAATTTCTATATTGGCTGCTTTCCCTACAGCTGGGCAGAAGAGCCAGCACGTTTCTCAATAATAGCAACATCATTTTCTGTATTAACCAACAACTGACACAGTGATTTCAGTACATTAGCAAACAAAACACATCACTGCTTAATACAACATTAGCTTGGCAACAATGTTTATCATGGGAGTAGCAAGAGCCATTAAATATCCTTTCAGACATTTAGGTGTTAGAAAACACGTCAATATTGATGCAGCTGCCAAAATGGCAACACTTTGAGGAATGTGATTTCTGTAATTTTGTGACTAAAATATAAACACAAAACTTCTCTAATAGTGATTTATGCAAATGATTGTGCAGACATCCCTTTAATATCCCAGGGATAAGAACATTATTCTGAAGTTCTTCATCTGCCTTCGAGATCTTCTGCAGAGTTTGCTGACAGAACCCAAAAAACATTAGCACAGTTTAAATGATTTTTATGTTCCAGAATGTTTTCATACATGCCTTCAGTACACAAACTCATAGATACACAAAACCAGGTTGAAAACACGGGAATGGTACTGCAACAATACAGGCTGGGCAGCAGCTGTACTGGGAAGGTTCTGCTTTGGGCAGGAGGTTGGTCCAGGGACCTCCTGAGGCCCTTCCAACCCAAGGGATTCTTGAAAAAATTAACATTCTAATTTAATATATAAATAATGCAAGAACAGCCACACAGGGCCAGACTAAAGATCCATCTAGAACAGGAATAGACTCCAAACAGACCAAAACATGACACCTAAGGAAAACCAAGAGAGTAAATATATATCAATGTTCTTCCTTGCTTTCAATGAGCTGAGGCTCAGGAATTCTTAGAAGTTGCATCTTTCCACACCTAACATCCTCCAAAATATTTCCTTTTCATTAATTTTTCCCCTTGCCTCTCAAACACATAAAATAATTTTGGCATCCACAATATTGTGCCCAAGGAAATTCCAAGACAAAAGAAAGGGTATAGGTAAGCTGTGTATCTGGTGCCTGCCAGATGTTAATTAAATCCTCCCTACAAGACTAAGAAAGGCAGAATATGGTAACTTTACCATCATTTCTTACAGAGGTTATTTTTTAAGTAGAAATTGATTTTTTTTAAACAATGCTAGAGGCGTTTACTTAAAAAAATACCCTCAAAACCCAATGACAAAAAGCAGTCAAAAGTGAAAACGCTGAAGAGCAAATCACAGATCTCAGACTTCAGTCAACATGCAACTTCACTCATATAAAAAGAATTCCTAAAACTGCTTAAATAATTTGCAGGATTAGGCAATAAACACCTTTCTTGAAAACAAATCAGGAGAAATATATTTAACCATATCACAACAAGAAATCAGAAGTTCACTCTTAATGATTTCAGGGAATTTGGATGAAGTTTCAAATGCTTCCAGAGACCAAAATAATCAGGGAAAAGAAGTCTAAAATTCAGGTACTTGCACTATTCCCCCTCCTGGAGTACATCCCCTACAGTGATTCAGTAATACAGGTCCCTTTTACCAATGTCAAACTACAAAATCACACTGGAATGAAGACACTGAAACCTTTCCATTTCTTCAGATGAGGAAAGTTCACTGTGATGCTGAATCGCAGCTTTTGAAACTTACCTGTCACCTGCACTTTTCAGTTTAACACCCTCACAATAAGAACAATGAAAGGGATCAATGAATATGTGAAGTCAGAAAAGGCTGTTATGTACTAACAATTACATAATTACAGGAAAGTATCTGCTTTATTCCGTAACAAGAGCAAGAGGAACGAGAACAGTAAAACATAAAAAATAATAATGCCCACATTTCTCTTTCTTTCACCAATAATCAATATTGTTTGGCATGCTACTAAGAGCATAAATGCTGAAGATAGAGAAAAAAACCAACATATTTCTGAAAGTGAGCCACCCAAATTAGCAATCTTGAAGCAAGTCTATTTTCTTTTAATCTGATGGGAAGAACTAGCTTCAGAAGATTTATTTATTCCTTTATTAAAAACGCTGCAAGTCTTGCACTATGACAGTCAAAGATGAAGCAGCCAAATGAAAGCAAATCATATCTGAGTCCCTGAAGTTTCTTACCTCAAGGCCCGACTAAGCTTCTCGTAGTTCATCGTGGGCTTGTTTTTGCGCTGTCCCCACTTTTGTGCAACCAGCTCAGGTTGATTCAATTTAAACTCTCCTTCGTCCCCAACCCAAGAGATACAGTCCCGAGCGTCTTTGTCAGTGAGAAGTTCTAACAAAAACTGCCACAGCTGGATCTGCCCATTGTTCCCTGTTGAAATAGGAGCAACAAGATCCATTTCAACTTGTCTTTTTTTTATGTTCCCCTCACAGATAAAAATTTTCAACCAACATATTTAAGCAGAACAACACAGAATATAGGACGGAAGGAAAACCTGCACTTAATTAATCTCTTCTAATGATTCTTTTGCAAACATTTTCCTGGAAAGTCACCAGTATCCATCTATTAAAAAACTGATGAATTCAGGAAAAAGTTAATAAAAATTTTTCATAAATCTGTCCCTAGAATTTAAAAGAAAATCCCAAAAAAACCTCCACTGAACAAAATCACACAACAAAAACCTCCACAAAACAAAATTTAGACACATATTTATCTCTAAAATAGAACAGATTTAGCAAGAGCTGCTTATTCTTCTTCACACATTCCTCTTCTATAATAGAAGCTGTTTTTTTAAAAAGTAATTTGGTCTCCAATTTTCAACATGAAATATTAAAAATACAAAAGAAACTCCCAAACTTAGCTTCCATCAACATCTTTCACATCCAATCATTAAGATTTCTTTCTAACTCAAGGACCTGTAGTAAAATTCCTAAATTCTCAATGAGATAAGGAGAGCAGACCTGATGACTAAGGAGAGAAATACAAAGTATTCCCTGCTAATGTCAGCCAATAAAATCTTGGCCTAAGAATTCTGAATGACATAATTATAGACTTTTATGGAAAATCTGAAACAAACAAAAACTAAAGGAGAGGAAAGGATTTAACAGAAAAGTTCAGAACAGTGGAGAGAAACAAAACAAAAATGACAGCAAGAAAAAATAAGGTAAAGAAATTAAGATCTGTTAGTAATAATGAAAAATTATGGAACAAGTAACAGTAATTCCAAAAATAAACTGCAGATTTAGTGTGCAGTTTTCCAGATGTGCATTCTTTTAATTAAACAAGAAATATGAAACTTGCTAAATTTTGAAGCCACCAAACTGGGGGGGAACAGAGGAGAAGGGGAACAAGTAGAGCAAGTACCAGTTAGGCCGGGTTTCTACAACATACAGTTTATTTTTGTCCCCTTTCTGCAAATGGAAAGAAGTTAAAAGCTTGAAGAAAAGCTATGCAGCGGTTTCAGAGGACAGACTGTTAAAGGATGGGGAAAAGAAACCATTTCATGCATTTTATTTACTGCAGCACTGAAAAACTGCAGCACCACATTAACATGGTGCTTGTGTGAGCTGACCAACCTGCCAGGGCTGCACGTGCTTACCACGCATTTTGTTCCTCTCCTACCACACGGACTCCTACAAACCTTACATTTGGTGCAACAAAGATGTGTTCCACCAAACTGTAGTTCAAATTAATGAGTTAGTGTTCGCTGCATTTGCATGTAAAAATAATAGAGACGGTACCTGTTCTGTTCCCAGGGGAACTCCTGTCTTCCCCAGAGATCCTTGGAGCTCTCTGCACTTTGGCTGCCTTTGCACTGCTGTTTATCACTTTAATGGTGGTCGGGGTAGCAGGTTGTACAGACGCTGGAATAATCTGCACAGCTGTGGAGCAGAGAACGTTGCAGAACATCAATTATAAATCGCACAGAAGCACATATATTTTATTTATTACCTGTATTATCAAAACATCTAGAAGCTTGGGTTTTTTTTCCTTTGCTAAAAAGGCACACCGCATAAGTCACAGTGCTAAGCATAATTTAAAGAGTTTTTATCTCTTACAGTGAAAACTGTAGTTTTAGATTCGTTGTAGAAGTGTCACATTACAGATAAAACATCAGCTTTATTTTACTATCATGTGTATTAATGTTTCCATAAAAAAACCTCGAACTCCCTCATGTCTTTGTTTTCATCTTTATGCTGTTCCCACATGATCTGCCCTAATGCCCGTTTCTCTACAGTCACTGTACCACCCTCCAAACCTGGTATTCAAACAGTAAACACCCTTCTATTGCCATGGAGGAGGATCCAAATGCCCTACTCGAGCTGGCTTCAACCAGACACAACCCCAGGACGTAACACACAGTCTGTCTATTTAATTTAAGCTGCTTACAAGTCTTCTGAAAATTGATTCATTTTAATAATTGACGGCACTTTTTCAGTTGAAAGAATGAGCTTCAAATAACAAATAACTTCAAATACATTAAAGTTTCTTTAATGTATTATTTCTAGTACTGGTTTATAAGTAAGTTTTCCCTTCCACACGCTCCTTCAGATTTTGGAAATCCCTTTTTTTTTTTTAAATTAATACTTTGATATATCTGTTCATTAATGCAATATATAACCTAAAACCCCAGAATAACTAAAAACCTCAAATATGTATCCTAGACAGCTTATTTCAAGTGGATGGAAAATCTACCATCCCAAAAGAAAGTTATAATCTTCCACAGTTCAGGTTATACACCACCTTTCAGTCACTAACAAAACATAGAGAAACTCAACATTATGTTTGGAAGTTTAAAATATGTCCTTCTCCCCTTGGAAAACTACTCTCTAAAGTGATTATCTAAATGCTGTACTATCACAGAGCTGAACCCAAGTACAGTGCAAAACCTGCAAACGGTGAGAATTAATGCTGATAGAAGCACTTACGCTGATCAATAGTAACAGTTGCTATTTCTCCAGTGTGTTCTTGACTAGCCAACACATCTGCAAGTTAGAAACAAAACCAGTACGTTTTTATTTAACCTACAAATTTCAAGTCACTGAAGATCAAAAGCCTTCATCTTTCATAGAGGAAAAAAGTCAAAATTTGGTATCCATCTACATGGATAGCTCATGGTCTTATGAGTAGAGGCATTTAACATCTGTCACTCAGTTTTTAGAAATAAGGATGTACATGGCAAATTTCAAGGTATTTCATGCATTTTCCATCCCTTAAAACCTTTAGCTATATCATGTAAATGAAGATGGAAATGGCTTTTAGTCTGCCAAATTACATCCAAGCATGGTAAATCTGAAATGCACAGATACATTAATGTATTATACCCATACAATGCATCACTCACCAGTTGTGTTGTGTACCATATAAGGATTTCATTGCCTCTGCTTAATAATCTTCTATATGACACAGAAATGTTCACTTAATAACTCATAATCGGTATTTAATTACAGATCAAACTCAGCAGATGCACAAACTACAAATCTCTATTAAAAACAAAGGAGGAATCATCAGTCACTACCTTCTACTAATGATGAAGTTTGATAAAAGACAGGCAGTGTTTAGTATGCAGACATCTTCTATGGCAGTAGACATTCTCTCTAATACCTCCTGTAACCTCATTTTTACTCATGATATTAAGTAAAGGAAAAATAACTGCTCACAATTGGTTTCGTCTTTAAAGAAAGAAAGGGAAACAGAGAAGTGGGGAGGGGGAATAAGTAAAACCAGTTACAGAAAATTCTGCCATACACTTTCGGAGAAGCTCCAGGTGGCTCCAGAGGATTTCTCCCCGTGGGACGCGGTGGAAGAAGTCTTCCTGGCTGAGGCTGCAGAGCTCCCTCCCAGGAATGCTGAGTGTGCAGAGGTCGATGTCGGTCATGCTGAACTCCTTCATCACCCACACCACCCAGTGCAGCACATGGTCTGTCGACCACTGCACGGGGTCTGCAGAAAGAGGGATGAAACTGCAAATCACCTCATTATGTACTGCAAGGTCCCTCCTCAATTATATAACTTCCATAAAAGTAAATGTGTAACATCAAGAAGTAGAGTTACCATCCAGAAGCAGAGTTACTGTGACCAAATCTGACTGGAAATTTGACAGCTCTTAAAATGCAGAGGGAATGGTGTGGGGTGGTGGAGAGATGGAAAGGGCAAAAAGGGGATATTCTTTAGTAAACATTTTTACATCAGAACAGAGCCTCACATATCTCAAACACAGAAAATAATTATTTTTCTTTTTCCATGCATCTTTAGTTTCAAGAAAAGAGTAGTCTCTCTCACACAACGATACTCTCCTCAAACATGCTGATCAGTATGCAATTCTGACAAAATACTACATTATCCCAGTTTCTACAATAACAAGTCACCACTGCACTGTGTTTGGCTGGGACGGATTAATTTTTCTCCTCATCATGCTGTGTTTTAGGCTGGTGACCAAACCAGCGTGTCATAGGTTTCCTTGTTCTAAAAACCAAGCAGGGAAGTTTTCTTTCCCCTGCCTCACTGCAAAAGAAAGATGTTGAATGGGGGAAGGTGGTTTGCCTTGGGTGATTGATCCGCACAAAAGAACTAAGTGGTAGGCCTGAATTCCAAGCTGACTGTGGGGAGGGGTGATGAGTTTTTTTTACTTCTCTCCTGGGAAACGGGGGCACTTCACTTTTGCCTTAACTCGGGCAAGGTGTGTGTTGGGGGGACTCCGAGATCGTTTTGTTCTCGGCCTGGTCATCTGGCTGTTTTCTGACCCTGGCTTGCCTGCGCCCTGCTCTGCCCCTAGCCCGGATCTGCTCGGATTTCATCGGGAAGGCTTGACCTATCTTCAGGGGAATTTTCTGGGGAGGAGGTTGCCCTTTTCCCTCCTCCGCTCCCGCGTTTGGCAGCGCTTTGTGCCCATCGATGAAAAGGGGGAGGGGGAAATCCCGGCCACAGCCAGCTGCCGGCAGCGTTTGAGTATTTGTGGGAAAAACCTGCCTTCTTTCCCCTTTCCCCCTTCCCCTTCCCGGTGGGGGGGCGGGATCTCCATTTTCGGCTTCTCCCGTGAACCGGAGCCTCCTGTGGGCACCGCCAGAGCCCAACAGCGCCCCCTGCCGGCCAACGCCGAGCACCGCAGGCTCTGCTCCCCCAGAGATCCAACAGCGCCCCCTGCCCATCCTGATTGGAATTGCGCCAAAGGACGGGAAGTACCGAACTGCTTCCCTTTTGAAGGGGATTTCTGGGTACAGGATTATTGTTTAGTTGCTTTTGTGTTCTTTTGTTGTTCTGCCAACACACGTATATCCTTTAGTAAAGTGTTATTTTTCCTGTCTCCATAATTCCTCAATTGGAGCCTCTTAATTTCGGATTTACAATTTGTTTAGAGGGAGGAGTTTGGTCTTCCTCATAACTCAAGTCCTCCTTAGCAAAATGCTTCTATCTCATTAAAGTGAGACAGGGGATCTTCTTTAGTAAACGTTTTTACATCAGACCAGACCCTCACGTATCTCAAACACAGAAAATAATTATTTTTCTTTTTCCATGTGTCTTTAGTTTCAAGAAAAGAGTAGTCCCTCTCACACAAGGATACTCTCCTCAAACATGCTGATCAGTATGCAATTCTGACAAAATACTACATTTTAAACTCATTCACATTAATCCAGTTTCTACAATAACAAGTCACCACTGCACTGTGTTTGGCTGGGATGGATTAATTTTCTCCTCATCATGCTGTGTTTTGGGCTGGTGATCAAATCACTGTTACCAACACTGAGATGTTCTGGCTACTGCTTAATAAAGGGCAGTTACACAGCCTCATTTTTCACTGATGTAATCCTTTGGCAAAAGACACACCACAAAGGGTTTGGTCTTCAAAACATTATCAGCAGTGAATTTTTGCTAATTTGTTCTCATTGACAGAACACAACCTGCAAGGAAACATAAATCATTACTTTTCCCTAACCACTTTTGTGGTTTCCAAGCTTCTGTTGCTCCCTTTTCTGGCTTTATTTCTCTTAACAATTAATACTTTCCTTCTTCCTAGGGACCTTTGCAATGGCACCAAATATTTGGATTCTAATGGCAGAAATTCTTGTAACAGATAAAAAATTGTAATCTCTAATAAAACCCACCAAAACATGACACAAAGAGAAAGCCACATTTTAAAGACCTGCTATAAGCTCATTCTCCATTTGCAGCAAAGCTGAGAAGCCTGTAAGGATGAAAACACTGAACAACTACCTTTCCAGATGATTATTTACTGACCGGACTTGACTTTTAATATCAACACCCTGTACTCTGAAAAGATTCAAGGAATAGTTTCAGATTATACTGTAGAACCTAGGGGTACCTGATTTCAGCCCAAGTCCCTGCAATATCTACTCAGAAAACATTTAAAATTTTATTCTTTCCAGGAAGGCAGTTTAACATATTTTTCAGATGTCAAGGGAACACAATTATTCATAATAGAGAGACCTCTGTCATAATGACCTAGCATGATTTTCCTGAAAAATCTGCACTCCTATGACCCAAAATACATTAAACTTTTAAAGCCACAGCTGTGGGTTATAGGGTTTTCTTAAAGCATCAACATTATGAAAGTTTATTAAAAACATTATTCAACATAACATCAGTTTAAGTAATTTTCTTCTGATATTAATGTGAGAGCATGCTGAAAAGTATTAGTCTGCTCCTGATAATCCCTCACTTTTTTTTTTCCAACATTTTGCGTCAAATCCCTGATTATCAACAGACACAATATGATGAAAATTATTTTTGAAGTGCTTGCCAATAAGAACAACAAAAAGCCATGAAAAAGCCATTGCTTTAGTTATCAAAAATGCATTCAAAATATCGGCAAGCTACGTGTCCTGCAAAGACCTGTGACTTGACTGGAATCCTTAAACACTTCCAAATATCCCACTTGCCAAATATATTCCAGTTTTACGGGTCTGCTCAGATACTACAGCTTCCTGTGCTGAATATGCCTTGACAGTACATTTCTGACAGCCACAAGAAGCAACTGAGCTAAATAATCTCCTGAACACGATATAGGTCTAAACCCCACAGTTTACGCTCAATTTTAAGCAGGCATTCAGAGATGTTTGTTTCTAAGCTACCGTTAAAAGAGGAGCCTGCTAAGTAACAACATTAATTCAAAGGAGATGATCATCTACCAGAATATGCACTGTCAGTTCTGAATCATCTTCCTCCAGTATGCTGAAGCCCAGTATGGCTTTCCATGCAAAATCTGATTTAACACCAAATTCAGCATCCTCCCGTCCATGAACAATTTGTTTCGCTATTTTAAGAGCAACCCCCACCAAGTACTGAGTCCAGCTCAATTTCACACACATGTTAGGAACTTTATCATTAACATACACCTTTTTAAGGAGGGTAGGAAAAAGAAAAGGGCTTTCTAAAAACTGCATTGACAAAAAGGTTATGGAGCAAAAAATTCTGATTTAATAAAACTCTTACAAGCATTCACTGTACTTCTCTTTAGTCTTCAGATTAGGTATTGCAAAAAAATTATTTCCTGTGAGGGTGGTGAGGCCTTGGAACACGTTGCCCAGAGAAGTTGTGGCTGCCCCATCCCTGGAAGTGTTCAAGGACAGGTTGGATGGGGCTTGGAGCAACTCAGTCTAGTGGGAGGTATCCCTGCCCATGGCAGGGGGGTTGGAACGAGATGATCTTTAAGGTCCCTTCCAACCCAAACTATTCCATGATTCTACAATTCCCTTATGCAGATACTTGCACTGTACTTACCCACACCCTAAGGTGCCTTCTCTGAGGGCCTGAGCACCAACCCCTCAAACACAAGAACTCAGACCCTGCCCAAAACACACACCACGCTGTGTGTTATTACCGTAAGGAATTCCAAGGCGCTCCTGCTCCTTCCGGTAGCCTTCCAGTGCTGCAGCCCATCGTGTCACTTGCTCAGAGGTTTCATCTGAAATTGTTGCAATATGTTTTGTTCCATCCAAGGTTATCACTTGAGCTTCCTCAACAAGGTGAGCTTCAGCCTCTCCAGCATGAGCATCTGGATCAATCACCACCTCCACCGTCTCCACAGGCTTCACAATTTCAAGGATGTTCAACTTGGGCTCTATCCCTAGTTATGGGAAGAACAAACAAACACAAAACAAAGCTGGTAATGCCAATATCACAAAAACATTGTTTTAAAGCTTTCTGATTAGTAGGGTTAGCATACTCAGGGAAGAAGCAGGACACAAAAACAGCATTAAATTTCTGTGAGAGTCCTAAATTAGAATGACAGATATCTTATTATACAGCATATACTTCAGCAAGGTGAATACAAAGCTGTCCCTCTTTCCTCCCCCAGTATTACAGTTTCCTTTTCTATTTAGGTGATCCATTTCACAGATCTTGAACAGAATGTTCAGCATATGGGGATAAAGTGTAAGTATTTTGGGCTATAAGAAATATACCAAATAATAAAAAAAAAACAAAACACCAAAACCAGCAACCCCCAAGAAGACCCAGAACAAGCATCCAGCCCTTTTCTCCAACCATGAGGCATTATTTTCAGCCTTTACAATACTCTCCTGGTATCTCTGGGGTATACACACAGCAGACAACGTTTTTTTTCAGTACTCTGTGGCAGGCAGTATGTTTAACAGCAAGTTAAAAGAAAACAAGAAAATTCTTTGTATTTCAAGCTTCATCAGCTATTCATGTTTTGGCTTTATGTCTGTCATTTCAGATATTAGATTGCGGAGCTGGAAGATATGTCTGTAATTATTCTGCAGCAATAAAGAACACATTCACTAATGCTTTGTATCACCACCTTCTCTGCTGTCTTCTGAGAAGGTATTTTGTCCAACTGGTGCCTTCACCAAATTTCTGACATTGTAATGAAGATTTTTCAAAATAATTTCAATTTTTTTGACATATAATTTCCATTACAACGGGATTTATATTTCCATTGTAATGACAGCTAACTTCTTTAAAGATATTCTTATCAAAAATATTTGCACAGAAAAAAAACCAAACCTTTAAAATTCCCTCTTTTTATCACTTGGAAAACCTTGACTAGGTTAGGCAGATGAAAGTAGGATTCACAGAACATCATATGGCCAGAATAACTTCAGTATCTTGAGCCATAAAGTCTTACTTTTTGTCCCTCCTGTGTAATCTGTATTAAAGCTCGATGTGAGATGGTAAGTTCTGCAGGTAACAGCCTTAGCAGCTGAAGCCACAATGCAGTCATAGCTTAGAAGGGAAAATAAATGGAGTATATACCAGTACTACAAGTAAGAACAAACCGAGTCTTTTTCAGACAAGTATTCCTCTAGATTTTAAAAGGAATTCAGCTTGAGGAAAATATGAGAAAGGGAACACCACAAACACCTAAGTACAACATGCAGCGATGTGAAATTAAGGCAGTGAAAATAGATGCAGACAACCAATAAGTGGTTCATTAGATGAAGAAGCAAAAATGAAGGAAAAGCAAACAAGTACCTTACTTAGGAGAGTATTTTATCTAGGGCATCTAAAATTAACATGCAGAGCACAGGCTTCTTTCAAAATCAGATAAAAATGGGTAAGGGAAAATACTAAGGGTTAAGATTCTATTTTTGATCTTCAAAAAAGAAAGTAAAGAGAAAGTTTTCTAGAGAGGAACAGTTCACCATTGCTCAACAAAATAATTCACTGTCTGTCAAATAATTACATGTCAGAAGAACTTTGTGCTTTATCCACAATACAAACATGGAGATCATAGCGATGAGTCTCTGTAGAGTAATCAGCTTACAACTAAAAATGTTGTGAATTAAGTCTGATACCTAACTGACTGCAACACTAGAGCAACATTAATTCCCTGGGTTTGTCAGCATCTCTCCTCACACCTCTTCTCCCTCCACCTACTGCATACAAGAATGGATGCCCAGTTTCCCTCGGACACACCTAAGCTGTGGAACAAAATGACACACACCTCAGAAGCATAAACTGGTACAAGGAGTATAAAGCTTCAAGAACATGAGCTACCAAGACATGTGCAGATGTTGCCAGGACATGTCCCTTCACTGCCAATTGTCTGAAGGTAGAGAACATACTCAGGTAAAGACTGACCTACAGGCAGCCTGAAATGTCTAGTATTAACCACAGCCAGACACAGGACATCAGTCAAGCTGCACTGTTAATCTAGATCAGCACCATTACATTTATTTTTCCCTTTACATACTAAAAATAGTAAAAGCAGAAATTGTTATAGGAAAATACTCCAGAATATTTTGCTATGGAGGTGTCAGAGACTGAAATGGTTAATGATTTATGCATTCTAGGAGACTTTTGCAGGCTTTTGACTTGCATGATACCTCTGATGAGCAATCAGGCCCCTCCCTCCCTCCAGTGCTGAAGGTGTGAAGTCCTGAAAAGATAAGAGTTGAGCTTGCAGGCTTTTGACTGTTGATACAAAAGACACAGCACAGGCCTAGAAGATGCCTCAGGTGGACTAAGCCCTAAAAAGGCAAGAAGTTGCCTCAGAGGGGCTAAGCCCTAAAAGGCAAGAAGATGCCTCAGGTGGCCAATCGGGCCCATCTCTAAGCCCTAAAAGGCAAACAACTCCTCATGCCAGGGAGGTGCAAGAGCATGCTGAGGGTATATAAACTGACTGGTGACTTTGAGAATTTGGGTTCTCCTTCTCCCCCACCGCCTGCGAATCAAGACCATCGCTCTCAAGCATCACTGGAAACCATCGCTCTCAAGCATCGCTGGATCCAGTGGGCGGTGACTATATACATCTGTCCACTCTCAGCTTTTCTTTCTCTTACTCTCCCTTGCTCTTATCCTGCCTTTCTCTCCCCTATGCATTTTTCTCCTCCCCAGACAGGTTATGACAGCACCCAAAAATGTTAACTTACCTATTGATTCAAAATTGTTAAAATAAACCTTGCCAGTATATGTTTTATGACACCGGTTATTTAGTGTCGTTTCACTTTAATCCACCCCAAGGGAATTATTGATAAAAACCTGAGTTACCCCCCTCTCCCCTTTTCCTGGGGCAGGTCGTAACAGGAGGTCTTCAAAATTAAAGATTTTTTCAAATTCTTTGACATACAATGGAATACAGTTACTCAGATCTCCACAGACTTTCAAGAAGCCCAGCTCAGAGCAGTACAGAACTGGGCTGCACTCAAAGCTGCTGTTCTCACAGTGGCAGGAGAACCACACACACCTCCGTTCCTCCAACCAGGAGAAAGGAGATAAGGCAAGGTGGAGTGCCAGGACAGTCCTTCTAGGAAAAAGAATAATCAGGAATGATATTTTATCTGCTGTAGTACAAAATGTTATAAAAGAACTACACTGGACTATATTTCAGCTGGTGTTTATTCCTTTGAATTTACAGATGGCTAATGAAAATTTGATAGAATACTTGAACTGATGCAGCAGTTTTGCTTTCAAAAAATAAGAGAGTCCAATCTACCACAAGGATGAGCACCACTGACTACTACTAGCCAAATTCTATACATTACACAAGTTGGGGAAAAATAAAAAGAATTAAATTGAGAATCTTTCAAAACCTCATCCATGCAAGTAAAATACGCTGCTGGTGTAAGAAGCTGTTTTTTCTGTCTGGCTCAAAGGGACACTGCAGTCAAGGGTAACAAGTCCAATTTCCTGTTAGTGATCCAAATATCTTCCTTTCATTCATATCCATGTTATTGGTTTTCTGACATTCTGTCCTGCCATATTTTATGTGCCTTACACATGCAGATTTCTTATGAGTTATTTAAGTGTGAAGGCCTGAAAAACAACACTGAGGATTGTCCCAAAGGTACACAGAAGTACTTAATACTCAAATATTCCTTTTAAGGGGGGAGAGAAAAGAAAGAGAGTGAGAGACAGAGAGAGAAGGTGCCATGGGGTCGGGAGGCAAGAAGCTCCTTGAACTATATGGTCAGTTTTACATTAAAGACAAAGAATACCACCAAACACAGGAAGAATATGGAATATAACAGTCTGAATACTGTAAGTTACTAGTATGAATTAAGAGCAGTTTTTCTAGTTCCCTGAAGGACATTTCTACTTTATTTTTAAAAGCAGAAAGGTAGTTCAAACCCCATTACAAATGGGGAACTGAGGATTCAACCCAGCACTACTCACCTGACTCTCAGCATTAAACGCAAATTGTATCTTACTGAAGACTGTTAATATAAGGCAGAAAGGTTTACTTCAGTGTCTAACCTACACTGAAGCCACAAGAAAACAAAGTGTACTCCCCAAAATTTGCTGATGTAACTCAAAGGAGATAACCAATCTACTCGAGTAGGAACTTGTCACTGCCTGAAAATATGTAAACTAACACCTGTAGCTGTTCCCAAAGCCCAACATGAACATTGTCTTCAGTGAGTGGTAGCAGTCCTTCCACTCAAGATAAATGGAAGGAGCAAAGCAGAAGAATAGGACAAAAAGCAAAATGAGGAAGCTGCTAATTCCTGAAGATTTGACAAGGGGAAATCCTGTCATACTGGATAATACAAATAAAAACTATGCACCAACAAAACCCTATCCACCTGCTTAATATCCACCTCTGTCACAATGGTTTACTCTGACTTCTCATCCAAAGAAAACAGACAATAGATAGTGATCCTGGACTTTGATAAGAATTTCCAATTAGCTACATATACTTTCATAGTCTATTTGTTCCTGAAGCACACAAGTTTGCTCACCTCACAGAGATGAAACTGTCACCTACCTACACAAACTTCTTTTGCCTGCTTTGATATTTGGTCTGATATAAGTAACTACTCAACCTTGAAGAAGTCCTCATACTGTAACTGTGACTATTCGACTCAGATTTGTTTGGGATTTGGGTTTATGCTTGGTTTTTTTACTTATAAAAGGATATAAAGTTCCTATAAAAAACCATTTCAAATAGCATTAGTCCGTGATATTTATTTTAATTTTACTACTTATAACCACAGTACACAATGAAAGAGATTCTGAAGCTCCATGAGCATTCAGTGATTTTCTCAGTTTTACAGCTAGGAATAGGAAGAGACTAGGTTTGCTCACAAGTATTCCTACAATATTAGTTTGTCTGTACAACACACAAACATAACTGCTTACCTTGCCTAGATATCACTTGCACACTGAGTTGCACTGTTCCATCTGTTTTCACTCCTTGATCAAAAAGGCTTCGATTTGGGTCCAGCTTGATAAAAGCATAAAAAAAATTTAAAAATATGTATTAGCCTCACAGTTACAAGAAACTTATTCTCCTTCAAACTTTAGAAACGCTTGGTGCCTGCAGCAAATCTGCTGAAGTGTGCAAACATTTTTAGTGCTATGTAGACACAGTACATGACAGAAGGAATTTGACCTGTATTTGATACTTGCCACTCTCTTCTGTTTAAGGCAGTTTCACTTAGAGGGACATTTTTTCACCTAAAAGAAGCAAAGCAATATTGGGCAGTACCTTCACTACCTGAAAACTATCTACAGTTCCTTTTCTGAGTTTTAAACACCTTCATAAAAATTCTTCTCTTTACAACAGTATTCTCCTGTTGTTTCTGGAAAAGCCACAGATGTCTGATTAGAACAACAAATAAAACACGCAGCTATAGAGAATGCAAAACAGTTATACTGTCTAAAACGTGGTGGGAGGGATTTCTTGAGTAATGCTATGCTATCTCTACACCTGAGTAATATAAAAACCTTCTCACTTCACTTAGATTCAAGACAAGATTAGACTCACAGAAGTTCAGGCAGCAATGAATGATGTGGGCTACATCAAGGGAAAGAAGTATTGTTGTTGCCCTCATTCTTCATTCACTGGCAAGGTGCTTTCTTACCCTTACACCAGGAACAAAATAAAAATATTTTTATTTTATTCACACTGAACTTGTGTGTATATATTAAATGGTCTAATGATAATGAACCTGGTGTAAAGATAAACTCTTACTTGTAATTAGTATTCGACATGAAGCATGAATTCCACAGAAGAGAAGAAAGGGACAAAGTATTTAAAATGCTTCTCCATTAAAAGGTTAAGTCTTTCTTAGCCTTTCAATTTACCTGGATATCTTGCAGACAAATTTCATGTGCATCCAAGGAACATTGCAGTCTGGGTTCCAGCAACTTCTTAAGATTCCCAACGGGTTCATTGATGTCAATAGCCTGACTCACAAATTCTGCTGTGGTGTAGGTTTGCTCGACGATGCTTAAATACCAAATTAATAAAAGAAATCATTACCTACATGTCACTGAAGCAGGTATAGGAAAGCTTGATAAAAGTTAGAAGTAAACTAGATAAAAGTTAATACTGACTCTGAAATCTTAATACCATGCAAATAAACTCTTAGCTTGGGTAGAGAGTGAATTAGTAAATTTGGTCTCATTGATTTTACAGTTGGGTAATTCTTCTTTCACCCTGTCACAGCTGAAAACTTGGGTTAAATACCAAGATTCTGACCACCTTTTTCAAGGGACTGAGTCATGATTAACATATTGTACAATTTTAACCTGCATCTAGAGTAAACTAATTCTGCTTGTCTTGTCTGGACTGTATTTAAAAGATATTCAAGTTAAAAGCAAACACAGAAACTTAACAGACAGAGAAAAAACGAAGGAAAAAAATACTCGTTGTCATACAGAGTAACTGTCCTTGTCTCTTCACCAGTCAGCACAAGGATAAGCTTAACACATACAAGAGACAACCAGAATGAAACTACAGCAACATGGAGGCTTGAAGGAACCAATAGCCATGTGTCATGGTTGTCCTGCACTACAGCAATGACAGTATTACCACAGGCATTCAGAAATATCAATATTATGGGACTACTGTCATAGCAATGACTTTAGACAGTTGGCCTCTCTTCATTTACAAAGAAGGAAATCAGAAAGTGTACAGTCATAGTTTGTAAGCACTAAAAATATACAAGGAGCTCAGAATAAGAAGAAACTAGTAAGTGCTTTTAAATCAGTTCTCTAAAACAGGTTCCTAAAGAGCAGCTTACCTAACCAGACTCAGCTATTTCTATCCAATGCATTAACTGAGCTCTGGGCTTTCAAACACACTTATAAAATTAGGAGGGAAGCATTAGGAACTAAAAAAAACAGGTTGAGGTAATAAAGTCAGAGGATATCAGACTTCAGTATCTACGGCTTCAATGGCCCTAACAACAATTATAGTCGATACAGAACATCATTTCTGCTCTGTTAGAAACAAATGACCCTGTAGAAATCCAGTATAGCAGTAAAGCAATGGACTGGAGAAACTGGAAGGTTCATCTCTGTTACAGAAGAACACACTGAAAGGTTTGTAGCACATAAACACTGACATGCTCCTACAGATATGACGGTAGGAAAAGAAGTACCAATAATGTAGCAAGAAATAACAGTCTGGATTTTAAATAATTAAGATCGAGGGACATGACAGCACTATACTGATTTCCTCTAGTGGCTACAGTTCAACTTTAAGAAAAACCCAACTGAATTAGATAACAAACAGAAAAATAAATTAATTACTTAATTAAGTGCTGATTAAGGATTCCAAAAAGCAGTACATACCTTTCTTCAGTGCATTCCTGTTTCTCAGTTCCATCAATTTCTATTTCTATCAGCTCCTCTGCCTCTCTCTTAGTCATGGCTGAAATGCCTTAAGAACAGAGCTAGGAACAGAAAAGAAATTTTTTTGTAAGTCACATACCAACAAGACTAGATAATGTTTTTTGTCCTATTTTTAAACCAAATACCAGAATACCCTTTTAAAGCCAAGAATTCATCCAAAAAATAAATCCGAGCTTACACAGATTTCACAAAACAGATGACAATACCTGTTCTTCAAACAAACGTTCTAGGGACAAACCCAGGACTATAAATGGACATAAGCATGGAGCCCAAAGCATGATTCTCTTGGAGATACCCAAATTTATTGACTTTTGTTTTGTTTTGTTATGGGCCACCTACAGCAAAGAACATCTGAAAATTCATACTACCTTCCTAGCAAGGTTGAAAGTTGCTGCTTATAAATTTAAGCAGCATTTTACATGAAAAGCAGCAGCAGGAAGTTAGAGAGAAGATCAATGATTTCTTCACAGATAAATAAACTGAACAACACAGTGTTTGTTGACTGTCCTATCTTTCCACCCATCCGTCCCACGGGCAATGAGTTGACGATGTGCACAATGAATGCATCTTGTTAAGTCCCAAACTAATGCAGGACAGTAGCAATGAAAGGGAAAGCTACTCTGTGATATTATTACTGAGACTGCAGATTTTCATGCCTTGTAGAACACTGGAGTCTGTTGGGAGCATAAGAGGGAAAGAAAGAATTACTTTGCATTTGATGAGTAAAGACATAGCTTGCCTGGTATTACTGTGTTTCACTAACCAGCCCATACATCATAACTATGAAATACAAATGATAGAGAACCAGGCCCAATTATATTAACAGTTTACAATAAATAACATCTTCAACTCATAACAAAGAGAGCAGGAATTAAGACCACAGAAGAAGAAAAATCACAGCAGAAAATGCAAACCATGCTACTATTTAAATATCCACAATAGAAGAGATTATCAAGGTTTCCATCCTGGAATCATTCTTTCCCAGAGACTACTCTATCCCAAACCTGACTGTTAGCATAAGAATCTTACTAGACAAGTTAATAAGGGAACTTATTAAACTTTAAAACTTCTCTAAAGGAATTAATAGCCAACTACATTCAACAGCTGCTACACGAACTGTCTAAAGAAATTCAAACTACTCATCATCTCCTTCAAAACCTATTTTGGAAGATCAGTTGCAAAGAAATCAAAGGCTGTATGTGGTACCATTCTGTAAGAAGCTGCCAAAGCCAGGCAAGAAGTAAAAATTCACTGTATCAGTATCTCACAAGAAGGAAACCCAGAACCTGTTCTGTTCACAGATCTGGCACTGTGAAAACCTCCAAAGTGTCAGGTAGTGTCCACTGAACAAGGCCCTGGGAGTCCAATTCCTATATCCCTTAATCTTGTGTATCATCTTCATGATAAGACTTCCAAAAAATGCAGACAGGTTTAAATATCTAAAAATAAAGACACCCACATGGTTGCAGGTGACCTGTCTGACTGTTAAAAAATATTTCAAAACCAAGGTTTGAGCAATGTCCCTTACTGAAAACTCCCAAAAAAGCAAAGTGGTATGATTAAAAAAGGATGAATGTCTTTTCTGCATTAGTAATCAGATTCAAAACCCCAAACAAGAGTAAATTATCTTTTTTTTTTGTGATGAAGGGAGTTTACCAGTAAGGTCACAAAAGGGGTTAGGCTGGAATTTCTATTCGCTGACATATTCATAAGTTATTTATGGAGAAAACTGCAGACTTGCAGAAGGAACTCACCATCTTGAATGATTTCTGGCAGAAAATATTCAATATTGCTAAAGGGAGAGCAAATATTACTGCACATAGTAACTGTTGAGAATTAGGCAAGGCATTTTGAAGCCCCCATGGATTGGATGCCAAAAGGGCAGCTGGACTAGTAACTGTTCACTCACTCTTCAAAAGCAGTTTGTGTTTGTATCTCTCCAGCTCTGGTGTATTTTTGGATCCCTGGGGAGGTGGGAGAAGGGAGCACAGGCACAGAGAGTAGGTACACAAGGAGGAAGAAAGATGCTTCCACAGACACGAGAAAGGGAGATGATGGGTGGAAAGCAGAACAACATCATGATGGAAAGATGTAAAGTCATTAAATTTCAGAGAAGCCTAAGGGGAAAATTATTCAGCCTTTCCTATGGTAGAATAAAGAGACTTCTCATGATATAAACATTTCACATGAAGTCTAGCAAAGTTTGCTGCTACAGGATGATGCAGAGTTTGGAAGTGAACACGAGTTCACACAGGACTGAGCTGCCTGAGCCTCCTGAGCCTTTCCTGAAGGCTCCTGAGAGACAAGAAGGCTCAAAGAGCCTGGCTTGCCTGGAGGGTCACGTGGTAGGAACACTGCAACAGCAGCATTTGTTTGGAGGAACATATAAAACTGTGCTGGATTTGTGGAAGAGATATGGGCACAAACTCTGCTAGCAGAATTAATGTTTGCTATTGCACCAGGTTATTGTGAAGTGGGGATCAGTCCTGGACTCAGATGCATTATCAGCCGATACTGAAGTCAGGTACTGGAGTTATCTGTGCTCCCGAGAAGCTTCAGTGTGTGCAGCGCATATGTACCATATGCTCCTATCCGTCCCTATTATTATCCAAACTGTAAATACCAGCACAAAGTAGGTAACAAAGCAGACAGCCTGTCCTTTAGAGGTCAGCTTTTACAACTCAGCCACTTCGGATTTACAACAAAGATAGCAGACAAGTGAACGGGGTGGGGAGAAGTCACACCAGATTTCACGTGTTTACCTTCCTTATCCACAGCCCGAGGTGAGAAAATAGACGGGAACTGGGAGCTGTGGCTGTGCAGAACATACCTGGCAGAGCACCAGAAAGCAAACTATGCGAGATCACAGAATCACAGAATCAATTAGGCTGGAAAAGACCTCTGAGATCATCGAGTCCAACCTATGCCCAAACACCACCTTGTCAATGAAACCAGAGCACTGAGTGCCATATCCAGTCGTTTTCTGAACACTTCCAGGGATGGTGACTCCACCATCTCTCTGGGTAGCCCATTCCAATATCTAATCCTCTTTTCTGTGAAGAAATTCTTCCTGATATCCAATGTAAGCCTATCCTGGCATAGCTGGAGCCCAATGTCCTCCTGTCCTGTCGCTGGTTGTCTGGGAAAAGAGACCGACCCCCACCTGGCTACACCCTCCTTTCAGGTAGTTGTAGAGAGTGATAAGGTCCCCCCCAGCCTCCTCTGCTCCAGGCCGAGCCTCCCAAGCTCCCTCAGCCGCTCCTCACAGGACTTGTGCTCCAGACCCTTCCCCAGCTCCGTTCCCTTCTCTGGACACGCTCCAGCCCCTCAATGTCCTTCCTGCAGTGAGGGGCCCAGAAATGGACACCACACTGGAGGTGCCTGCCCAGCGCCGAGTACCGGGGGAGAACCACCAGACGCCACATGCCCGTAGATTTCCATCCAGCACAGGGCTTTACACGCGGGACAAGCTGTCCCGCCCCGGGGAGGCCTCGCGGAGCTCGGTCCGCGCTGCCCGAGTCCCGCGCCGGGAGCTCCCGCTCCTTCATCCCGGGGCCCCTTCCCCGCGCCCGCCCAGGCTCCATGTCCCCGCAGGCCCCGCTTCCCGCGGCGCCTCCGTGTCGTTGTTTGAACCCGAAACGGAAATGGGATCGCGGAGCCGCCGGGGGAGAAACGGAAACAAAACACGGGCCGGGCCGCGCTCACCCGCCGCCGCCGCCACCGTCCGTCTGCCCGCCCGCCGCGCCGACGCGTCCTGCCGGGCGTCCGCGTCCGGCAGCTCCCGCGGCTCCGGCTCCGGCTGCGGTGCGGCTCCAGGAGCGGGTCCAGGAGCGGGTCCCGCCGGGATCGGGGCGGCGCGCGGGCCCAGCGCGGGGAAGGCGCGCGACTCCGCCGCGCCCCCGCGGGAACTACAGCTCCCGGCAGCCCCCGCGCGAGGACTACCGCTCCCGGCGGCCCTCGCGCGCTCCCGCGGCTCCGGAGGGCTCCGGGCGCTTCCCCTCCTCCGGGAGCGGCTCCGTGCGGGCGCTGTGCGTGCCAGGCTCTCCCGGGCTGCTCCTCCGCGCTCCCGGAGGGCGCCGAGCGGGGCCGTGCAGTGTGTGGGAGGGGGGGGAGCGGCGCCGGGGGTGCGCGGAGGGGGCGAGTCCCGGCGTGCACCGCGCGGGGGCGGGACTGGGTCCGGGCTTAGGCGGTGGCGGCTGCGGCGGCTCGGCCAAGGTGACTCCGGGGGAACCTGGGTTGGGTTAAAATAGTAGCTTTTTTTGCTTAAACGAGATGAAATCTGAAATTCCTGGTTTGTCTGGGTGGTTCCATCGTGGTGCGGCACCGAGCGGGCCACGGAGAAGCGCCCGCGGTGTCACGGTGCCCTCGGGTTCGGTGGCGGCTGGAGTTTCTACCCCAGCCTCCATGTTGCTTTAAATACCCTTTAAAATACCCTTTAGGTACCTTGAAATACTTTTAAGTACCTTTCTGGTTTAAAGTTCAGGCCGAACCTACGTTGTTGTTTTTTTTTTTGTTTCGTAATGCATTTACATGGTGGTAGCTTAATTCCGTATTCCTATTTCATTGGGTTTTTTAAAGCCTGAAGTACCAGTGTCATTATGATCCTGCAGCTTTCCTCCCTTTAAATATCCCGAAATACTATTAAAATACTTTTTGATACCTTTCTGTTTTAAAGTTCAGCTCCAAACTACTTTTGTTTGTTTCTTTGGGCATTTGCATCGCAGTGAGTAATTCCGTGTTCCTGTTTTGTTGGGTGTTTTTAGAGGCTGAAGCACCGGTGCGATCATGATCCTGCGGCAGATTCTGCGTCTCTCCTCCCTGTTCCGCTCCGCTGTTTCCGTGCAGCTCCGCAGGAACATCGGTCTCTCTGCCATCGTCTTCAACAAGACCAAAGAGCTCGACCCGGTTCAGAAGCTCTTCTTGGACAAGATCAGAGAGTACAACACGAAGAGCAAGTGAGTAAAGGAAATTATTTTAAGGGGGGGAAGCTGGTGCCAAAAGGGGGAAAACTATTGATTTTGACGTAAGAACGTGAAACGTGAACTGTTTGATTTTTGACTGCACTTTGGTAGCTTTGTAGGCTGGCCTCTAAATACTTAAGGTGTTAAGGCTTTCCTGCAACACTTACTGATGGTGTCACCAGTGAGAAGGTTTGTTTTTGCACACCCAACGGAAAATGTCACATTTTTTCCCTTAAAAAAGAAAAAAGTTGGGGGGTTAAGGCACCCAGTTAAGGCCTCTTGCACACTATGTGCACGTACCAGTATGTTGATTTTTACCCACCTATATGCTCTGTGAATGGGGGAAACCAAAACCAAGCGTTTCTTTATTTCTTTTGTCTGGGGTAAACCATTATTCTCCACAGTCTTGTTTCCAAAAACAATCAAGAACTAATGGAATTATCAGGATAATTCATTTTACATCTCCAGTTAATAAGCTCATTCAGATGGAATCTTAGATTCTTGTAATGTTTAAATGAACTGCTGAACAGGAGACTAAAACTATAGTAATACTCTGTTGGGAATTATTCTTGGGAAGGGAATAAGTCACTTCTTAGCTCTACTGATAGAAGTTGTGCGTTTCCACACCTACTACCAGTCTGTGTAGGGAGGCAGATTTTTGGTGGTTTTATTCATCCTAAGTTACCTGTGCTGGTGCTACTGAGCATTGGTAATCTACAGTTACTATTTTAGTTGTTTTATATTATATTTGTATCCCAGGAAGTTCCTGCTGTGGATTTTTTTTTTGGCTTCTCTTTGCAAGAACAGTTAAGCTTTACTAACCAAGGTGACTAATTCAGAGACAGCAGAGGTGCAAATCAGTTTTTGTTAGGAATTTGCATGTGGAACAAGAGAAACTAAAAGCCCTGAGAGCCTGGATACTCAGTGTAGTTTTATGTCTCAAAAGGCCACGTCTGTAGCTTCAATTTTCATCACTAATAGCAGAAAGCCTATACTTTTCTCTGAGAACCTTGTTAATGTATAAGGTAAGGAGGCCCTAAGGTGTGTCATGTCTTGAGTTTCAGAAATACTTTAAATGATTTCCTTTGGTTGGTATCAAAAAGATTTTTAATTCATACATGGGCGTAAAAATGTAGAACTTCCACATGCAATGTTAGAACTGAGTTGTTAATCACAACTTCTAATGCTTTTTTAGGCAAGCAGGAGGGCCTGTTGATGCAGGACCCGAATTTCAGAAAGAAATGAATGAATCCCTTGCAAGACTCCAACGGGCGTATGGTGAGGGAGACCTAACCAAGTTCCCAGAATTTAAATTTGAGGGTGAGTTAACAATCTTATTGAATTCCAGTTGCAAGTAAGGACGTACTCACGGGTTTTCTTAATTTCCATTTTGTCTTTATTTGGACCATTAATTTAATGTAAGATGCCCTCTGGGAATCTCACCGCTTTCACACAATTCACATCTGATTCCACTTGACTCCTTTTTTTAATTATTTGCCTTTTCCAGTAGAGATCTGGACTTCCTTACACTGATGCTTAACAAAACTTACTGTAAGATCAGGGTATCTTAATTGCCCTTCATAGACCCTAAAAAAAGAGCCCAAATAGAAATAGCCCAGGGCCTGTATTTTTCTTCTCATCCTGCCAAAGAGATCAGCAGATTAGAATTTGTAAATCAGTTGTCTTATGTCATGCAGACTGTGATTTTCAGATTTTGTGAGTTCCTCTGGAAAGCCACTGATTTCAGAAAATGAACAAAGAACTTAACTTTCTTAATTATGAATACTTTGTGGCTAAATTGTATTAAACCTTTTTCTTCAGCTATTTGGATCTGACCTCTGTTTAACTGCTCTAAGTTTGTTTTAGCGTGGAAGGGAAAGAGCAGAGAGCATGAGGCTTGGTGAGCATCTGGCTGCCAGCCAAGGCCAAGCCACCATTGTAATTCTGACCAGACTAACTGGTAATTCTAATTTAGAGTAGGAACACACCTAAAAATATTTTGGATTTCAGTAACATTTCACTTGGGTAGAGTTGCTGTCAGGTTGTTACTGGTGCAAGTAAAACAGAGTATCTGTAAAGTAGGATCTATGTTTTTTTCTTTTTTTCCCCCCAGTTTTAGGGATGTGGTTTCTTTATATTCATATATTCTTTATCTTATTTTATTTCTGTGTCATATGGGAAACAGTGCATATTAAAATTTCAGATTTGTTTTTGTAAGGAAACAAAATTTGTGAAGGTGGAAACAGAACGAAGTGGGTACACACGCACACACAACTGTTCTTTTATCACTGTTGCCTGTCCTTAATTTAATTTCAACAAGGTTTCAAAACTGAGTGGTTAAATGGATAGGAACTTCAATTTTTTTTGTCTTAGGGACAATTACTATAAGCCAAGCCTTACCTCTCAGACTCAGTTTTAAGAACAGGCATTAGTAGCCCACCTGTCCAAAGCCCTAACTCTTCTGAGTTTGTACCTTTGACATCAAGAACTCCTTCCTCAGTGTTTGCATGTGGAGACTGGATTTGAAATTTTCCATTCCTTTCTGTTAATATACAGTAATAACACTAATCAAGAGGAGTGAAGAGCTTGGTTTCTTGTTCTTGTATCAGAATTGAGTTGGAAATATTTTGTCATGGTCAATAATGTTCTTGTTGACTCCTCCAGTTTCCCTGCTGCCTTCCCCACCACCCCATGTTTTGCTAAAAGCTGTTTTGGCAAATGTTACTAAGTCTTAGCCTTTATGGGTAACTCCTGCAAGGTGGAAAAGACCTGTCTCCAGCGTAGTTTTTGATTTTAGTGCTGCCCACGTTCAATCAGACCTTGATGCAAAGTAAGGGGGGTGTAAACTGCAATGTAGAAGAGTTTGCTTTAGCTTGCCAACTTAATGGTTAGTTTTCTTTGAATTACAGATTAATCATGGTGTTTGAGGATCAAATAAAGAGAGACTAATATAACTTTTCTCTTTCTCCCTCT